AGACGTGGGGGAGGAGTTGAGGTAACGAAGACTTGGATTACAGGAATAGTTAAGGTGGCCGACTAGGAGATCGGGTCAGCACAGGGGCTCAGGGAGGGTGGTTGTGGGTAAGGTCAACACAGTGGTTGATGTAGCTTAGAGGCTAAAAGACTGAGCTATAAATTCTTGGACAGAATTTTGGCTCTATCTAGCCTTAGAGATGGAGCCCCCCCCCCAGGCACTTAGTTTTGCCCCATCTCACATATAACATGTGAAATGCTAATATCAAGCTGCTTTAAAAGCAAGTTGTAAGGATTATAGCTAGATAACGAATGTAGAGCACTCTGAACACTTAAGAACACAATACAAAACGTATTTGTTATTTGAAAAGCATTTGAGTTTACAGTTGAAAACTCAGCACTGTAGGTTGAAGCTGGTGATCAACTCTATTACTACAAAAAGAGGTACAAGTAGTAAATAATTCTGATGCAATGAATGCAACATTGTAGTTTGAAGAAATACACTGAACTATGTTAAAATTTGGTTGCAGGTGCTGTAAGGTGAAGCTCTACTATAAGGTTCTAATGAGTTCCCCCCCCTCAAGGACTATCCAGAGGACAATTCATGGGATAAGAGCATGGGGATACCAAAACTGGTGAAACAAAGGGGCATGGGGTTAAAAATTATGAAAACCTCAGAATTGATTAGGGTAACCTTTTATTCTTGCACAGATTAGTTATACGTATAAAGCTTGCAGCAGAGTTCCATTCCCTAATGAAAAAAATGAATAGTCACTTTTCATCTCTACCAGTTAGCCATATAAGAATACATATTGCACCTAATGCACAATTTCTTGTTCTGTTATTACAGTGCTGAGTAAATGTCATGGCTTTCCATAACATTTATTGAGCACTACAACTGCAAAACACAGACATGAAGAAGTCTCAGCAATCTGTCATTTCAAGTCAAAACAGGACACCCTGACACATCAAGACAGCCTGTTGAGAATTCTCCACCCACTGTGAAAAATCTTGCTTTCAGAGCAAGAATCAGACAAAAGCAGTTTTGGGGACTGGGTTCTCTACATTTTATACTGTTCCCCTAAGCACACGGGCACACCTAGCCTAAGAGGACACGCTGTTCGATCAAAAAACAAACAGCCTGTCCGATAAGTGCAATGTTTAGCAGTTCCAGCAAGAAGGCAACACTTCTTGCATGTTCCAATAATGCACTTTGGAAACGCACAAAATTTTCTCTGAACCTGACAAAAACAGTCATTGTTACGTTGTGGGAAGAACAAAACTTCTTAGGTTTTCTCATTTATTATACAAAGACAAAACAAATCAAGATCTTCAATATTCCATTGTTTCTTCAATACACTTCAGGATTTGTTAAACTTCTCTTCCCTGTTTTCCAGAATGCACTAGGCATGGCTGAAGTGGGTCCCTGGTTAACAGTTCTTGCAAGCTAAAATTAAACTAGGCTTCCCTTAATAATCAATTCAAAGGGACTGGAGCCCTCACTTCAAAAAGCCATCATTGATGATGATATATCAAAGGAGGCTTTTAAACAAGGCTGCTCCTGCTGATTTTCAGGAACTCCAAGGTTCTGACCCATGTTTTTGAGCACCATTTTAGTGTGTTTTCCTATGGTCAATTACCCAAAATACATTTTCAGAGTCTCATTGCATTTAAAGAAAGAAAGGTCAAGGTCTGTGAGAGGAAATTAAATGGACAATGGTACAGAGAGTCACCATTAGCCTAGCTTGGACATTAAAAGAAAGTGAAAAATATACTCTAGTTAAAATGTTTAAAAGTATAATTCAAGAATCATCTCAAATAACAACTGGAATTATCTAGTATAAGAGGTGCAACAACCAAGCTGCTTTTGTAGGGTTTAAAGAAAAGTTCACTTAAGCAAGATTAGTATTCATGAGACCAACACATGCTTATACAGAGGTTACAGGTTATGGAAAAATATATAAGCTTTCCCATCAGCATATAGATATATCACATCTACTAATGCATAAAAATGCTATATGACATTTCCCAAAACAACAAAAGAAGAATGACATTTAATTTAAAACAGACAGCTATGGAAAAGTGGATTATTACTATATTGATAAAATACAAAGTATACGGTACTAAAAGGTAGACAAGTTTCAAGACTAATGCAGCTGAGACAATTATGAGGATTGCTTCTCTCTCAGACTCCATCTCAGAGAAGAATCAATTAGCCCTTGTCAGACTATGACCTTGAAGGATAAAGCCCTAAACAGAATCTGCTGAGTTGGACGGAAAAGAGATAAGAAAAGCAAGATTCTGCCACTGACAAAAAGTCTACTTTCAAAATTGACATGTCATTTTCACACTGTGAACTGTGACAGCACATACTTAGCTTTGAAGAAATACTGCAATAATGTCTCAAATTCTTCCCTGGAATATGAATGTGCTTTACAAAGCCCGCTTCCCAAAACCCACCTAATGGGTTTTTTAAAATTGTTATTATTATCCTGCTCAATGACTTAATACTGCATAAAACACAGTATGAACAAGTTTTTCCCATATATATACACTTTATATCAGCTATCTTGCTGTTTCGCTTTACACTGATACCAAAAAGATTTTTTTATAGCTACCAAACGTGTCAGAATTATGATTCTAAGCAAACATTCCTGGTGTAAGTGAAAATAAAACGAATGGCAGATTCCATAGATAATTTGCAAATATCTGTATGAAATTCACATTTTAAAACAAAGAAACAGACAAGCAGATGCCAAATCACTAGGTGCAATCCCCAAACAATAGTGTCTCCCTCTTTATTCTGCAAATGTGAGCTGAATGGTTTACAGAGTTTAATGTAGGTGGGTAGCTTCTAATGTAGGTAATTTATTCTAAAAATAATAGGTGGGTAGATCTTAAGGAGATACCATTTTTGTCTCAAATAAAAATCAATGAATAGATCAAATAATTCTACAGAATCTTGCAGGCTGTGCATTTTTGGATTTGCTTCTTCAGCTCTGCCACATTTTGCTCCGAATAGAAGTCACTTTTTATACATGACATTCATTTTGCCAGCATCAGAAGGGTGGCAACGATGTTTTATTGAAGTCTGCCAATGGTTTTTACTTTTGAAAAACATAAGAGGGTGGGGGAAAGGAAAAGAAGCTGCTTCACTAACTGCTTCTGGAACTAAAACATTATCATCATTATCATGACTGTTATATACATGACTATTGCCTAAAAATCTGTCTTTTACTTTCCCAAGTTTCTTATCTGACAATAAAGTGAAGGTAAGTTGTGTTTCATTAAATATTTCTGTAATGATTTTTTTAAGAGAAGATATTTAATGGACATGAATTTTGAAGATTCTGTAACTGTTACGGTAAGTGGGCAAGATCCACAGCTCCAGCATATAGATATAGCTTCATCTAAAAACAATGGAGGCTCTTCATCTGCAAATGTCAAATCTTTTGATACACAAAGGCTGAAATCCTATGTCACACTAAATATAAAAAGTCCCAGTGATTAAACCTGCATAATGCTGATTCACAAAATACTGTAAATGCTAATTCACGATAATCAAATATGCGTCAAATTCTTGTCCTATTTGACACATTTACCACATGAGAATACAAGGCCAACACTTGATGCTTCAGAAATAATATTTCTAAAATATTTTCTGCAAGGGAAAGATACGAAAAGAGAGAAGAAAGTGACTGATAGTCTTTGTATAAGACAGTTTATCAAGTCTAGGAAATAACTCATGTTCACCACTGCGGGTTCTGGTCGGATTCTCGAAACACACCCCTTTCCCTTTTCTTAGTCTGCCAACCTGGGATGCATTGTTTCAGTACTTACACATCAATGAAGGTTAACAATGCCATTGTCTGAAACTGTATTTTAATCTGTTGTAATATTATAAATAGCAAAATGCTGGGTATGGCATTTCAGAAGGGATACAGGCTTATTGATGCCCAATATCATACGATGAACCATGGAATAATCAGAAAAGTACTAATAGATTGATAAGATGTATAAACCAATTGTTAAATGATGGAAACAGTTTTTTGTAATTTCTTAGCAACAGAAGTAAAGGGGACACTATTGCTTAAATCTTCTAGTATAAACTAATCAGTGGAGTTTAGGATTAAGTCAAAGAGTAGGAAAAGGGGAGAGAGTTTTCACCATGAAGAGGAAGAATATTTGAATAAATGTGCTGGAAATATTCTTAAGCTTTTGCGCAGGAGCAAGCTTATATATTTCACAGTATTTTCTTTCCTGTGCCTACAGGCAAAACATTTCTTAAAAAGCAGCGTTTTAAATATTAAAGTAACCTGAAAGCTAAGTACTCCGTGTAATGAAAACGCTCAGCTTCCAGATATGTGGAATCTGCTTGTAATTACTCAAAAGCACAGGATTCATGTTCTATACAGGTTTAGATGCTCTTTCACGTTTATCATCAGCCCATGCATTTCAAGGTTGAACCGCCGGCACAAGGAGACTCCAGGCTGTAATATAGCAAGTCACTGCCTGTATTTAGCCACACACTGAAGACTTATAAATGATGACAGGACATCAGACTAGAGGAGACACTAGTGAGACTCACATCTGCATAGGTTGATACCAAGTTGCAAGGAGAAATCTGCATGGCTAGAATTACTGCCAAGCTAACAGGAACGCCCTCCTATAGCACTAATTTACCTGATGAGAAAAAAAAATGATATATGTGGGGTGCAATTTGTCACAAATACAGAATACAAGGAAGATGGGAAATAGGCAAAGTCAAAGACAGAAGTTAATTACAAGTCAGGACCAGGGCTGAAATCAAAAGGAAATCCATCTAGCATTCACATACATTTTTCTGGATCTTAATAAAACTGCTTCCAGAACTAATCCACTTCCATCCAGTGATTAGCAAAACAATCTCTATTCTCACCACAGTGTATGAATGTTACATGCAAAAGATTTTGTTCAACACATAAAGCTGCATAGGAGGTTGGGGTGTGATTTTATACTTACCTAGTTTTGGTGGAGCTGTCTGGATATTAGTTTCAATGTCTTGTGCCAAAGATGCTGTTGTAGGTACTTTTACTTCAGTGTCTAGGCTAGATGGAGCTAGGGAGGGTGACAAAGAGGGTGGGAAATGGTAATCTAACACGCTCTTAGATGGGGATGGCTGATCAGGAGCCTCAGAAGTAAGCATTCGGGCCCCATCAGGCTGACCTGTAACCTCAAATGTTGTTTTGCTGGTGGGTATTGGAAAATACGATGTATGCACTACAGATGGCACCCAAGCAGATAATGCATTAGGATCCCCAGAGGTGAATGGATCTTGTCCAATCCTACCAGGATCAAGGTGGGTAGGAGCATCGTACTCAAAAATCTTGTCCACAAACACCCACTTGAGGCCAGCAATACAGAGGCAAAGGCTGATCAGGCAACCCAAGACCGGGACAATGCAGATCTTTTCTGAGTTGAGACAGCTTGTCAGACGCTCTGTCTCCAGGCACACACAGCAGGTAGCAGCGAGGCCTGCAATTCCCTGCACTCTTCTTTCCTCGGTCTGTGTCTCTGGCGTGTCGTCTTCAGCCGGGAGCCCGGCAAGTGATGCAGTAGGGCTCAGCTGGGCCGAGGGGTTGGGAAAACTCTCCAGAGTGGCTTCAGACATAGTTACGCATATATATATATTTTTCAAACAAACACTCCTCTACACATCCGTAGCAACTCTCTTCTGGTCTGTCATTCTTAATAAGCAAGCCAAAAGGAGAGAAAACAGATCCAGAGAAAGATCACAGCACCAGGCATCAAAAGGGGATCTGAATGTCAAAAGATGATCCAAATAAGGAGAGATGGCAAAGATTTTTAAAAACAAAACACAACCTTGCAAATACTCAGAAAGGAAGTCCCTCATAATGATTCAGCTCCTTTTCCTTGCTCACGTTCTCATTTTGTTTGTAATTCCTTGATTCCTCTTCTGCCATCTCAATTCTTCAAGGAGTCAAAAAACGAGGGAATTATATAAAAAAGGAAGAAGCTGAAATACTAAACAAAACTGCTGAAGTGAACCAACAGCCCGAAGTGAAAGGCTGGCTTCTCACCTTGAGCATTTGAGGCTGGTGATCGCTTAGATGGAGGAAAAACACAGCTGTCATGCAGTAGAAGTGAAAGAAAAATCAGGAGGAATGGGAGCAGCGGCAGCAGCAGCAGCAGTGACAGTAGCAATAGCATCCTGTTGTGCAAAAGAGCCGGCAGAAAGAGGCTGAATCATTACAGAGCAGCAGGTGCCTGCTCCCTCAGCATCACTGCAAGCAATATAATTAGAGAGAGATTTGAAAAGAAGAGACGGCAACTCTGTCCTTAATCCTTACCACCTCCTTCTTTTTCATCCCTCCCAGGACCACTTCCCCTCCAGTGTGTTCCTTTCTTCCTTCACTCTGTTCTTCCGATGTACAGATTCCCTCTGCTCTCCTTTCTCTCTCTCCCCACCCCCAACCCTCTGCAGGGCTGGTCTGAGTTAAATCAGCACACCCAGCAACACGGGATTGCCAATGACTTCCTATTTTATCCAATTAAAAGGAACAGAGGCCATAAACTCAAAAAGGGAGCTACAGAGGAGCCAGTCAGACGCGCTCTTTCTCTTTCTCCCACCGTGTGGTCACGAAAGGATGCCAATCGATTACAGCAATGTAACAAAGCTGCAAGAGGATAAGGGCGGGGAAGGTTGTAGGTGGCAGCCTTATGGGCTGGACCTGATGCTAGGATATCCGATCCCTCCCAAGGGACACAGGCCTTTCAGCTGCAGTTTCTTTCTGTGTGCTGCTTAGAGAGAATTTTTTGCTTCTCATCGATATAGACGGCATCGACGTGAGTTTCAGACTACAGCTGTTGTTGTTTTACAACAGAGACAACTTTTGAAAAACTTGCATTTCATTCCAACTTGGACTTCAGATATACTGTGTATACAAATGATGTATTGTTCTGGAATTAACATTTTAACAAGTTTTTAATAAATACTGCATCAACTTGAAGTGCAAGCCTAGAAAACACACACACACACACACACACACACACAAACACACACACACACACAGAGAGATTGAGATTCTTATTCAAGCTTCTCAAATGATGAAAGATGGATAGGATTTTGTCCACTGAGGTTTTTTTCTTGAAATTGCCAAGATTAAAGGGAATAATAGTTAACCCATGTTTTCTCGACTTCTTCTACAGCACTGAAGGTATTTAAAATCACTTAAAGACTGAATTAAGTGAAATGCTATCAAAATAAATATTTTCAAAGGATCAGAAATCATGACAAATTATATGATGCACACTATAAGTGGAGTGGACTTCAAGTCAAAAGTGAAACCTGATACCACTAGTCAAACAAATCAATACAATTCAGATGAGGATTAGTCAAATGTGAGTTTGCTACCTGGAAGGTCTGCAACAGATTTTCTTTCAGTTAGTTCATGATGTCAAGTTTACAATTCATGACCTTGAAGATCAGAGTTTTAATTATTTCATCCAAAACAATGTGATATTGGATGAAATAGAACAACTAGCCTCAATCAGAGGAGATCCACTGAATGACAAGAGTTAATACTTACGTAATTCCCAGCCTACTCTAGCTCAATATTTTGCAGTTTAGGCTCTCAATATATAGTAATGGAATATGCTGTGAATCCTTAATCAGCAGCCATGAGAGACTAGGCAGTGCATCAGCCTCTCTGGCATCACTGAGCCCTACTGTGACCTTAAGAACATTAGTCAAGGATGCGGAGGAAATGGGTAAATTTGTATAACTCACCATCCTCAACTGGAGCCAGTGCCTAACCACAGAGTAAGATAGATTTGCTTGGCTAGAATAAAAGATAACTACTAAAGAACCCAAAGAAGTACATGTTATATGACTGAAAATCTTAGGAATAAAAATAAAAATAAAAATCTAACCAGAATTAGACTATGCAGAACAAGGCATATGATTGGAGTCCACTGATAGGACATCAGGGATATAGTTTTTTAAAAAAAACAAACAAACAAAGCTGTAAGTCAGAATTAGACTATGCAGAACAAGGCATATGATTGGAGTCCACTGATAGGACATCAGGGATTTGTAATAGATTTACAAAATCTATTGTTTTTTTTAAACAAACAAACAAACAAACAAAGCTGTAAGGGCAGAAATATTTTTAAACATGTCTGCTCTAGTACTGATCATTTTTCTCTCACTTACAGAGCTCCTCAAGTTCTGGGTGCCCCTGACCAGGTTTTTGTTCAACTGCAGCAAAGGCAGCCACAGCCTTCAATTTATAAAACCTTTAGGAGGCCACGCCTTCTCAATTAAATTAATTAGTTCCAGTTCTTGCAGCCTGAGGGTATCGGCAGGATCCTTGGTGAGATGAATGTCTCCACCCCCAATATATGTTGAACCCTTGCTCTTCTTGGCATATACAAGCTGATAAGAGGGGAAAGGCCGAGTGGGTAGGAGTAGTGATGGATGCCTCCCTGCAGCAGGGCAGGATCCCAGCATGCTTAAAGGAGGTAGCAGTAAGGCTGCTGATGGGAAAAAAACAACCCTCCTTGAATTCCATGGTATTGGAAAATTACTGATCAGTTTCAAAAGTCCCATTCCTTGACATGGTTCTGGAGCAAAGGATGGTTTTTCAGTTCCAAAAGTTCCTGGATGAGACTGATTCTCGAGATCCATTTCATTCTGGCTTCAGGTCTGATTATGGGATAGAGATAGCATTGGCTGACTTAGTGAATAACCTATGCCAGAAATGGGGCAAGGGGAGTGTGTCCTTATTGGTTCGGCTGGACCCCTTGGTGGCTTTTGATACCATTTGCCCTTCTGGGACATCTCTCTGGGATAGGACATGGAGGCACTGTTCTACAGTAGCTCTGGTCCTTCCTCAAGGGGAGAACTCAGAAGGTGGTGTGAGGGACTCCTTCCTGCTCAACGCCCTGGCCGTTGGCTTATGATGTCCCTCAGGATTCTAATTTGCCTGTGCTATTTATCATACACATGAAACTCTAAGGTTGTTCAGAGTTTTGGACTTTAGTGTCATCAGTATGCAGATGGCATCCAACCTTATATCTCATGTCCATCTAATTCCAAGAAAGCGTCTTCAGTTCTAAACTGGTGTCTGGTGTCAGTGATGGGCTGGTAAAAGGGTGAATAAACTGAGCTTAATCCAAACAAGCCAGAAATGCTTTGGGGCAGTTACAAGGCAGATTAGCTAATAGGGTTTCAATCTGTGCTCAATGGGGTTATGCTCCCCCATCAAAACACAGCTTTGCAGCTTGAGTGTGCTCCTGGATTCAGGCCTGAACTTGAATGTCCAGGTCTCAGCAGTGGCTAGGAGTTCATTTGCACAGGAAAAGCCAGTGCGCTAGTGCAGCCTGATTCTGGATATGTCTCACCTGGCCATAGTGACACATGCTTTAGTTACATCCCATTTGGATGACTGCAATGCACTCTATGTGAGGCTGCCTTTGGAAAATGATCAGAAACTTCAGTGGTCTAAAATGCACTATCAGATCGTTAACTGGAGCTGCTTACAGGAATCACATGACTCCGCTGTTACAAGCACTCCACTGGCTGTAGGTCTGTTTTCAGGCACAACACAAATGGGTCATTTTCACCTATAAAGCCCTAAAACAAATTGGATTCAGATTACCTGAAAGACTAGAGGTTCCTCCATGAGCTTGCCCTGGTTTTAAAATAATCAGGGAAGGCCTTTCTCGCTCCTACCACCCTTACAGTCCTGTTTGTTCAGGTCTTGCCTGTCACTGCTCCCGAACTGTGTAGCTCTCTCTCTCTCTCATATGGGAAGCCAGGTTGAGCCTCTCTTTGCTGTCCTTCTGCAAGCAGGCAAAGACTTTTCTCTTCAGAAACGCTTTTTCCTTGGTTATTATTATTTTAATGTGTTTTAGATGGTTGTAAACTATTTTGATTGACAACTTTTTAAATCTGACATCTGTTTAATTCTTTTTAAATATTGAAATAAGTTATTGATTTTCAGCTTTTAATATTTTAAGTCGACTTGTGTTCTTCTGAGGAGAAAGGCAGGGTATAAATATTTTAAATAAATAAATATTCACAAGGTTGTCACTTGATGGTACATAATACCAACAAAGAAATTATGTATAAGAACACTGCTTAACAAAAAGATACTGAGCCCAAGAATGAAAAAAAGTAATGCTACAATGATACAGCTGCGGACATAAGGATTGTTTCAATGTTCTTGTTAACGATTAAATTAATGAAAGGGAAAAGCAAGGGGCTTTTTCAGCAGTTTATGAGAGAAACTTTTTCAAAGGATGAAGTGACACATCTATCAGCGTGGCAACACTTGGAAACATTAATACATTACTGAAAGCAACTGGCCTTGCTTCACTAAAGCTTTTAGAGATTAATATTGTTTTATTTGCAGACTGAGAGGTTATCATCCCAGCAAACTGAAACAGGGCTGCAAAATAGAAGAGAACCATTTCTCATGGTAGCTCTTCCTTCAGATAGGTTCAAGATTCATTCGGAGGCAATGTTGATTCTCAACCAAGCCTTCAACTTTGTTCTGAGTCCTAGAACTGTTTATTTACATGATTATAACCTAATAAATGAAAATCAATTTATTTCCTACTATTAGGGTGGTTGTGTACTAATTGCAAGCCTAATATTTCTTTCCAATGATATTGTACAGCTTTCATTCATTTCAATGGGGCTAATTTAAGACTATGTTGTGATCAGATTGTGGACCTTGGATTCTTACATTTAGCTGCTGCTTCACAACCAACTTACACAGATTGGAACTCACATACTGTATTGCCCTTATACACTTAAAATCTTAATGGTATCTATGGAAGTACTGACAACTTTCTACCAATGGCCAAATCTAAGAGATTGGAACCAATGATCTGTA